CTCAAAAAGGATTCCCTCCAACCATTCTGGTGGAAAGGCCTTACCAGGTACCATTTACTAACCCGTGCTTCTAAATTGCAGGGAGTTGACTCTTGGGTACATGTGTCACACCTAAAGAAGGCACCAAACCCTGACTGGAAATGCACAGTCTGGTGACCTGAAACTGAAGTTGTCAAAATTTAAAGCAGGTAACCTCTAAGGAGACAAGTTAACAAATCTTTCTGGAACTTTGGTCTATATAAGGTAATAATAGTCTTTGTCTCATTATCTACAAGCTTGGGCTCCTGGTTTGCACCTGCCACGTAAGCTAGGTTGTTATGTCCTAATTCTGCCTGTAATTCTTATTGTTTTAAGCTCTGCTTCTGATGCCCATCAGCCCTGGACATCAGCTGTTCCTGATCCATGCACTCTCCCATGATGTAAGAGATGACACCCAGAGGAGGTCCTTCCTGACGTCGAGGGACAAAAGGCTGAGGACTGGAAAACTTGAGATCTAAAGACCGGACTGTTGATCAACGATGGCTTTGGAGGAAAGATCTTGATCAAAAGTGGGGAATGATAAAAGTGAACTGGTACTTGGAGAAAACTGAGCCAGGACCTAGGACATCTATGGGTGGAGCTGGGCTTCCTGTTACTCTGGTCCTGACTTCCTGTTAAACTTTATGGTTCTAACTTCTTGCGGTGGGGGGATTCATAGGGGCCATATTGGACAGCTCGCGCTCTTTGGCATGTGGACAGCCAGCTGGAAGGTGTGTGTTCCTACACTGCTGTGGTGATTTTGTTTTCCCGAATAAACCCTCATTTTGGTGGACTATCTAAAAGGCTATTTTGTCCAATTAACACCTTAAATAGTGGCCACAGCTATTGTGACACTTTGGACAACCAAAGTCAAGCACACCTCACAGCTAGCGTGGCCATCTTGAAGGGGATGTGGCTGTTCCTACAGCAGAAAAAGTGTTCTCTACCCAGGGAAAGGGAAGACGTAAAACACTGCTCTGCAACAGACACAATACGTGTGCATTAAAGAGAATTCTAGGATATTTGGAAGTAGAGGGAAAAGGGAGAGGAAGCACTGGGGCCAGTAAGAGGGAGAAGCCAAAAGCAAGGGCAGGCTTGATATTTGGGAAGTTGGGCCATTGCAGGAGGTGGAGCTCAGGCCAATATTAGGGGCAGGGCAGAGGCAGAGAGTGAGGTCAATATCGGGAACTTGGCTTCTCTAGGATGGTAACTAATGGGAATCCTCAACTTTGAAAAAGTGGAGGTATTGGTGAAAGGATCTGTTGGGCCCTGCACAGGAAACCAGCCAGCCCTACTCCCAAGTCCAGCCTGTTATCCTGGGAAATCAAAGAACGAAACTCATTTGACCAAAGAAAATGATACTTCATCTGTACGCCTCCAACCTAACTCTTTTGGTGATATCACATTATAGACTTGATTTAAATTCCTCTGCACACTGCAGAAGGGGATTTTGTGATTTCCCAATGAAAAAAATGGAGACCCAGGCTCAAACAGGATTAGTCATGGTAATGTGACCTGCCTGTTTGGCTACAGCAAAATCTGGTATGTATATTAAAAACCCAGGTTCCTGAACTCCACCACAGGATCTCTGAACCTGGATGGTCCATGAATCCCAATTTTCAGTGGGTTTCTGAGTTGATACTTATGCCGATGAAGGTCTGAAAATTGTGTTTGGGATTCTTCTGTACTGAGTTATCCTGCCTCCTAGAATGTTTTGCAGTGGGCTAGTTTCTGTCATAGAGATCCTAAAACACTTGGAATTTCCTAAGCAATAAGAGCCATAAATCAAAATATTAGTTGTTTGCCTTAATTGCTCTTGTCTGCAGTTGACAAGGAATTTCTATTAAAAGATGAGTTCAGAAAATAACCAGTTAGGGAAAAAATGAAAAACAGGAGAAATTCCAGGAGTTTCAGGGTGAGCACATAGGACACGTCACATCTACATCTAGTAAAAGATAAAAGAAAAATCTTTGAGTGCTCTATCTTTCTAGCCAGAGTACTTGAAAGTACTAGTAAAGGGGGGGGGGGTCCCAGGGAACCAGGGATGGGGAAAAAATCTGGAAAGCTGAAGAGCACCCTCATTCTGTGCATGAGCTGACAAATTCGACTCACGCCCTGCTGCACGTGTGAAAAGCACACTAAGAAGCATAGTAAAATAAAACTATTGTGATGTAAATCAGCACTTAAAGGCCTAGGTGACCACTAAGTAGCTCATAAGGGACACACCCGAAGAACACAA